TTTCATGTAATTCCCTTTTGGAAAAAAACAAACACTTGAAACAGTACAAGGACAAAATTGTTTTCTTGTTAAGTATGTGGACTTGCATTTTTAACGTAACTGAATTTCACTAATTAATATATATTTAATAAAAAATAGTTTTATGCAAGTTTATTTTATTTTTTTAATGTAATTTCAAAAACTAACGAAGGAAGAGATCCTGGAGCAAAGCTATGTGTTTTTGTGACATTTTTGCAAAAGAAGCTTAAAAAAATTCTAATTAACATATATATATTAAGAAATGGACAAGGTCTGACAATTTATTTATTAAAGATATTTTTTTTATGTTTAACGTTGTTATTTTATAGATACAAGTATTTAAGCAAATGCTCTGTTTATGATAAACAGTATTAAATAACATTTACCGGCCTGAATGTCCGAGAAATTTTCATAGAAAATATTCGTTCTTTAACAGGATTCGAACCTGCATCCTATAGGGAACCGTCATATACGCTGACGTGCCTTACCGCTAGGCTACAAAGAAGCGTTCGGTAGACAAGGTCGAATTTACTGCTTATAAACTCCAATTTTCCATGAATCTCGTACATTCAAAACTGCTCTGGCGTATCGAATGTAAACAAATGACGTCATATATTAAGAAATGGACAAGGTCCGACAATTTATTTATTAAAGACATTTTTTTATGTTTAACGTTGTTATTTTATATGTCCATTTCTTTGTAGCCTAGCGGTAAGGCACGTCAGCGTATATGACGGTTCCCTATAGGATGCAGGTTCGAATCCTGTCAAAGAACGAATATTTTCTATGAAAATTTCTCGGACATTCAGGCCGGTAAATGTTATTTAATACTGTTTATCATAAACAGAGCATTTGCTTAAATACTTGTATCTATAAAATAACAACGTTAAACATAAAAAAATGTCTTTAATATATATATATATATATATATATATATATATATATATGCGCACTCATGATTAGTCCCAAATATAGGACGAAACGGCCATCCAGTGCTGCCTTCATTCTGTTGAGGTTTCTTCTAGACTCGATGAATTACTTAATTATAATTATCTCAAATCCTCCTAATTTCTATCACTTGTATAACCTTGTTTGAACCGGCTTCTAATGCTCTGGATGGATCGGCTTGGGGATAGTAGTCATGGCTCGTGGGGGCACACGCATATGGGTAACAGAGAAACTCGGATGAGTTCCACAACGGAATATGTGATCGAGCGGCGCTATATCAAGTCTGATTCGCAAACTTTTCGTCACAGATTCCCGTTGGTACAGTTGGTATGACGTTTGCCAGATAACGTAACTGACCTGGTTTCAATTCTCGGTAGTGGATTCGCACTGCTGATCGCAAATATAGAACGAAACTTGCTGTTTCTTCTAGACTTGATGAATGACTTTTTATATATATATATATATATATATATATATATATATATATATATATGACAAAATTTACTAGTTACGTGTTTTGTCCATCAAGACTTCATCGGCTCAACTCTTTCGAATTTGTCATACAATATGCCCAATATTGGTCTTCATATATATATATATATATATATATATACATACATGTGTGTGTGAAAAGAAACTATTGCTGGCATTTGAGTAGAGATTAATTTTTTTTTTCGTTGAATATAATAATTCTCTTTCAAAATTTATTTCTTGGTATTTAGAAAGAAATTATGGCCGGGGTTATAATGAATATCTGTACAATATTTTCTCATGCAAAATAACTTTTAAAAACTTAACTTTTAATTTAAGAATTAAAAATTGTCTATTGGATTGATAACAATCTACTATAAATTGTCACATAGAACCCAAAGGGGGATATGGTCAGATATTCGATTTACAAGAACCCACGTATATATATATATATATATATATATATATATATATATATATATATATATATATAGGACTTATACAAATATAACTGTTATATACCGTACCTATGAACACTATATGTGTTTATGCCAATCCTTATAAATACGTTGGACTCTATTGTAATTGCGGTAATATGCTGTCTAAGTTGTCCACAACGAGCAGTGGTTTACCTTCTTCCGCTGGGGAGTATTGCATTTTGTTGATTTTATAAAGATTACCCTTTCATTTCCTACCTCCGTTTTGGTTATTACTCATTCAGTAAACCCTTGTAGGTTACAACAATAACATTTGTCACTTAGCTGATTTATATTATATTCAGCACATGTACTTCAAAATTTCATAGAGAAATCTTTTGTATAATTTACGCGCTTTTTTTTTATTGGTGTTAAGTTGATTGTGTGTGTGTGCGCGCGTGTGTGCATGTATGTAGGATGTAGTGATTTCTTCTAATAATTTTCTTGTCTCTTATTTCTTTTCTTTTGTTTCTTTATCTTTCGACTCTGAGTGTCAAAAGATGATGTAAAAGAGATTTATATTTATGTTAAATTTTCGATATATTCTGTGCTTTGTGAAAATATTCTTTTATTTATTCATTTCTTGATTATATAATTATTTTAATTTAATTTAATTGATTCTTAAATGACAAAAGTAAAATTTGTCTATAGATCTTCGCTTGGTCATTATTTCCTTTGTCATATTCAGTAGTTATTTTTTTTTTTTTTACCTGACTGGGTGTTAATTATGGAAGGTTATATTTATAACAATATTTTATTTATATTTATTATTGTTCGAATATGTATCATACTCTCTCGTTAGCCATCAAAACGATGCTTTGATTTTACTAATGCCACCCTAATTAAATATGAACATAATTCTTTTAGAAGAAAATACATTGAAAATGTAATGATAATATTATTACCAACTATAAACATACACCTAAAACATTACATTATATACCCATCTTTCTTTAAATCCATTCTTAAAGAACCTAACTTTTATCTATTTAATACAAAGAATATATGTTTGAAAAGATCAGCCATGAATTAGAACGATGTGACATCGCGCTGAGATGGTTTGACCGCACGAATATGTAGACATTAAAACTCCTACTAGACAAACACACATACCCAATTACGAACACACGTTACCATCCGATGCTCACTTTGATATACAAGAATCTTCACAAACGCACATACATATAAAATTATCTGCAGTTGTAATTCACGTGACATGTGAATTGACCAATGAGAACTAGCCAATTCAAAATTGAAATAACACTTTCTGTCTTATTGTCTGTTTTCTCTTAATTTCTGGATAAGCTTTAATAAAAGTGAAACATGTTAGATTGATATAGGTTTCCTACTTGTTCTTTATTTTATCATACATACATATGTATATGTTTGTCTACATGTATATCAATTAATGTGCAAGTGGCGACGTAATGCTTTTTTTAATGTTTATACTTACCCATCGTTTGATAGATAGATAGATAGATAGATAGATAGATAGATAGATAGATAGATAGATAGATAGACTGAGAGAAATAATAGATAGATAGATAGACTCAGAGAAATAATAGATAGATAGATAGACTCAGAGAAATAATAGATAGATAGATGGACTGAGAGAAATAATAGATAGATAGATAGATAGATAGATAGATAGACTGAGAGAAATGATAGATAGATAGATAGATAGATAGATAGATAGATAGATAGATAGATAGATAGATAGATGGACTGAGAGAAATAATAGATAGATAGATAGATAGATAGACTGAGAGAAATGATAGATAGATAGATAGATAGATAGACTGAGAGAAATGATAGATAGATAGATAGATAGATAGATGATAGACTGAGAGAAATAATAGATAGATAGATAGATAGATAGACTGAGAGAAATGATAGATAGATAGATAGATAGAGAAATGATAGATAGATAGATAGACTGAGAGAAATGATAGATAGATAGATAGATAGATAGATAGACTGAGAGAAATGATAGATAGATAGATAGATAGATAGATAGATAGATAGATGGACTGAGAGAAATAATAGATAGATAGATAGATAGATAGACTGAGAGAAATGATAGATAGATAGATAGATAGATAGATAGACAGATAGATAGATAGACTGAGAGAAATGATAGATAGATAGATAGATAGATAGATAGATAGATAGACTGAGAGAAATAATAAATAGATAGATTTCAAGTTAGTTGGTAAGTGAATTGCAAAATGTCAAAATTTTACCCTTCTTAATAAAGCGCTTTGTTCCAAGAACGAATCTCTTCATAGTAATAATGTGACATCTGTCGTGGAAATAAAAAGTGTAAAATCTGATAGAAGAACTAAATAATCACCGGTTGCCGTTTGTACCAAAAGTTGAAAAATACAGCTTTAAAAATTGATATTTATTTTAGATAAATCTATTTTCCGTCCAATATATCAAAATATTTCAATGTTTTCATTCACCGTTTTCTTTTCTTTTCTTTCTTTTCTTCTTATATTTTTCGATTTCATTTGTTTGTTTTTTGTTCTTTTTTTTACAGGGGGGTATTTTTTTATTATTAATTCACATTGTACTGGTAATAAACTTGTGTGGTATAATCCGGGACGCAAATTTACTATTGATATTTCCGAAATCAAGGACACTTTCAATATATTTTCGCTTCAAAAAAAATTAGTCATTTAATTAAAAACCTCATGCTATATTATGTTAAGAATTTAACACAAACAGGAAAATAGAAGAAAGAGAAAACAGTGTGTAACCGAGTAAAAGCATTAGCTCGAATTCATGGAATAACACAAATAATGACTGATAATTGGTCGAATTGTTTTTTTACAGCTTATCAACCTTAAACTTGTGGTTTCAAGTCAGAGAATATTTTTAGATTATAAGATTATTTTTTATATATAATAAGGATTTAGTGATAAAAGTATTATTGATTAACCCTTAGATGGGGGAGTAGAGGTGTTATTATACCTTTCCCAAAGGCATTTGCGCGTTAGTGAATATAACGAACCCAACTGGAATTGGAACTCTTGTCTCAGATTAATAATTCCGAGTCATTATCCATTTCACATCGAAGTTTAAAACACCTGGTATTCCCAAGTGGTCACGCATCAAGGTACTGACCAGGCTCGACATTGCTTAATTCTGGTGATAGTACAGGAACCGATGTTTCAACGTGATATGGCAGTAAGCCTCCAAGACTAATGGTACAGAATCAAAAATTGCTTAAAGACAAAAAGTAGTGAAGATTTATGATCGCAGATATTCTGAAATAAAGTCGTTCATCTAGGATGAAAAAGAGACGCAGCATTTTCTTTTTTTTATGGTGACACGTTAGCATTTAACATAAATCTCACAAATAAAAAAAAAACGATAAAGAATATAGCCTAAAATTTGCAGTAAAATAATAATAACTGAAAATGGTTTCTCTTTAAAGAAAAAAAAAATTAAATTGCTTCCTTTTCGTTATGCGTGACATAATTCAGTTGGGTTTAAATGCCAAAAAAAAAAAATGGTGATGTTGCTATCGCCAAAAATAAACAGAATCAAATATTTTCAGATTGCTTTTTGCAAACTACTTTTCTCATCTGCTTCATTCAGAATACCCGAGAGCACTGGGATTTCATTTATATTTCTCTCACACTGTGCAGAATGCGCTGACAGAAATACTTCAAACCAGAACGATGTTTTTGTTTCCTCGTTAAATCTCTTCGACAACAGATGCCTTTTAGTAGATGATGTATTTTTTTTCTAATGATACTCTTTGAAATAAATAGCTTCGAACATTAATTAACAATCTATAACATTACTTCCTTTATGTGCCATGTCCCTTCAAGAAGTGGGAGACCATGGTTCTTTCAATTTCCTGTACTTTGTAATTGTTAGTAAAATTTATTTCTTGCTATCTTCTATCTCTTCTAATCAGTGTTTTGCAATTTGCATTAAACAATGGCATTGTCTAGCGCACAGTAAAACCTTTCAAATTCTTTTTCTCTATTGTTCTGTCGGTGTATATATATATAAATACGACGAATATGATGAGAGGCTTCACTTTCATTTTAACTAGAACCTAGATGTGTTCTCCACCATCTGGGGGAATTTCAACGCTTCAAAAGGAAATAATATATATATATATAGATATAGATATATATATCTGTGTGTGTGTGTGTGTGTGTGTGTGTGTGAAAATATATAGAAAATAAGAAAGAACTCGTTAGGTAAATAATCCAAAGTTCTTTAGTATTTTTGTTATTATTTTTAAAAAAGCAGAGTCTAAATATAATTATTTATTTAAAAATATGATTCCACCGCGATGGAATCCTATTTTTAAATAAATATATATATATATATATATATATATATATATATATATATATATATATATATATATATATATATATATACGTGTGTGTGTGTTTTGTGTACAACACCATTTGACAATAGTAAACAAATTAGATTAATTATTTATTACAAAAAAATTTAAAACCTTTATCTTTATCGTTAAAAATAATAATTCACCTATATATATATATATATATATATATATATATATATATATATATATATATATATATATATATATATATTACAGAATTTATATATATAATTATCGAATTAAAAATTATGACATAAATATGTTATAAATTCACTACAAAATAGCCATTTTCCTTCAACACCTCCTGTGACTTATCAAGTGATGATGGTGAATGTAAAATAAATGGTTTTAAAAATTTCAAATTAATTATCGATGTTTCGTAAGGGGAAAACGCTTTTACAAAAGCTAGAATGATCAATCAAAACATAAGTATAGGAGAATTCACACAACTTGACAACGAAGTAAGGTTATGATAACTATTAAGAGCTTTAAAGTTGTGGTTATACTAAAATAGAATTTATTCTAACCATTAAGTATTAAATTGTATGATAAAATTTGATATTAAAATTAAAAGTTAAAAATTACCAATTTTAGATTCACCATCATCACTTGATAAGACACCAGAGGTGTTGAAACAAAATGGCTATTTTTGTAAGGATTTTATAACATATTTATGTTATAATTTTTAAATAAATAATTATATATATAAATTCTGTAAATATATATATATATATATATATATATATATATATATATATATATATATATATATATATATATTATTAGTGACAAAGGAACTTCTCTGTAAACATAATCCATGTAAATGTACGACCATCGGTTGAAAGGTTCATGACTGTCCGAGAGTAAACGTAAGTAGACACACAAGTTGGTAGAATAAAAGATATGAAAGTTTACCAGAATACTAGTGCTGACCAACCATTCTAGCACACTTGCACATGTTTATGTGTCTACTTACATTTATATCATTGTCAGTCTATGAAAAACCTACCATATATACTAATAAGGAAAAGATTGAAGATTTTCAATGATGTCTGAATATTATTTAGAATGCACATTTTGTGTCCGGCAATCTTGGAAGGTTTGTGCGATGATCTGAAATATGGTGAAAATGGCGCATCGGGCAAAAATGTTTGAGAAATACCGAACAAAACGAATAAATTTGTTAGCCATCTTTATTATATCACCGATACTGACTCTAAATAATTTTAAAAATACAATATTTATATTAAATTGCTGGTTGAAATATTAATCGATAGTATCATATATTAAAGTAGAATCTGTTTTAGATTATAATTTTAACTAATATTCTGTCAAATTTCTAAGACTATATACATGCATATATATATATATATATATATATATATATATATATATATATATATATATATAAATACACACAAACACACACACACACACATATATATATAGGCCGGTAAATGTTATTTAATACTGTTTATCATAAACAGAGTATTTACTTAAATACTTGTATCTATAAAAAGAACGTTAAACATAAAAATGTCTTTAATAAATAAATTGTCGGACTTTGTCCATTTCTTAATATATGACGTCATTTGTTTACATTTGATACGCCTTGAGCAGTTATGAATGTACGAGATTCATGGAAGATTGAATTTTATAAGCAGTAAATTCAATTTAATTAATTGCCAGCCGAGCGATCCTTTGTGGCCGAGCGGTCAAGGCACGTCAGCGTAAAAGACGGTTCCGTATAGGATACAGGTTCGAATCCTGTCAAAGGACGAATATCTTCTATGAAAATTTCTCGGACATTCAGGCCGGTAAATGTTATTTAATACTGTTTATTATAAACAGAGCATTTGCTTAAATACTTGTATCTATAAAAAGAACGTTAAACATAAAAATGTCTTTAATAAATAAATTGTCGGACCTTGTCCATTTCTTTATATATATATATATCCAGGTAAAATGAGGACAAATGGAGTATAATTCCACTGTACGTAATATTCAATAAAAAGTACAGCTAAATATTATGGTTTCGAAATATAATTGCCATTATTTAGCGATTTTAACATGTTTATCATCCTCATATATATATATATATATATAGTAGCAGGGCAGACTAGACCCTATCTATGGACGATAAACTACATCCATCAGCAAGAAATGTGATCGGGTGATTTTGGGGAGCATGTGGACCCACCTCTTAATAGTTTTTTTCTTGCTTGGTCCACCCTGACCCAGGGTGGTAGCACTTGTTAATGTCCCAACTAGTGTCAAATGGTGAACCCCAAAACTGGGGTAAAAAAAAAAATAGTATTTCTTAAGAGAAAAATTAAAAATTAAATTACATCAACATATTTCTCTAACAAGAAGAAAAATAAAGAAAAAATAAATTTCAACATTAAATAACCCATAAAGATTTGATATTCTGTTAGACGAACAAACATAAATAAATAAAATATGTCACTTATAAAATGTATTGAATATAAAATTTGCTTGTCAAATAGAATATTTGTTATTGGAGTAGATACGAGCCTACTCAATGTACGATCTTTTTGTTTTTCCTTTCTCATTAAATCGAGGCATATAATCAATTCTATTACAAGAATCACTTCATGGCCTCTCGTTGGCATATTCAAGTTATCACTAAGATTACACATTCGCTCGAGGACATTAAGTAATTAAAACTTATGACAGTGAACGATCAATCTTATTAAATATATTGTAATCATCTGTATGAAGTTTTCGATAATCCGTGCACCTGTAATTCTACAGCAAATATGTCTCAGTTATTTAATCATCATTCAAGTTCTTTTTCTTTGTTTTCAGTATCTCACTTCGACTGTTTATCCCCGGAGATATCTAGCATACACATCATATTGAGAAACTAATCTACAAGGAATCTCAATCAAAATGTTTATATATTCCTCGTCGCTTGTTTTCCTGCCACCAATGTTCATGCGGTTTTTCTGACAATCGTTTTAATTTCAATCGATGGAGGTATTTCTGACTACTGAATATATTCCTGGCGGTATTTACTCATCTTTTACATAGGAAACTTTGTAGTTATTTTTTCTTATTCGGAAAACACAATCTTAAGATGCTTGTGAAATATACTTCAACATGTATCTTGCTTTGACTACAATGTTACCGTAGCCGCAACGTAGCAATTTATGAATATTCCAGCAATTGAATTATTACACAAAACGCACAAAAAATGTGTTTCTTGTCCGATGTCTCTATAACAGATCGTATTGATTACAAAGATCATGTTATATTATGACTCGAAGATCGATCGGGTAGTTAACTGGAATGTTATCTCAAAAGTTCCTAAGAATGAATCGTTAACTTTCTGAGAATAAGAACAAGGTATGCCTTACAACAATGGTGGGAGAACGGACGCATTCAAAAATTTCTCTGAATATGGACTCGACTCGCCTTAAGATCAATGGGTCACTTTTCTGCAACGTTATATCAAAACGATTTAAGAATGAATTGTTAACCTTCTGAGAATAAGAACAAACTATGCCTTACAAGAATTGGGGGAGAATTGCTATGTTATTCGCGGAAGAATAAGTATTCGCATTCATTTATTTTCTTTATTCTGTCGTACTGTCACGCGCTGAAAACTTGTGCATTTTTACCACGCAACTGTGACACTATTTAGCTTTTGGCTAACTAATTAAGCTTGAAAATTAAAGGCGAGAAATACTTAAGGCGAGAAGAAGCTATCACGAAAGACATACTGAGTGATGTTATTTTTTTTAACAAAAGAAAAATGGGTAAAAATTTTATTTTCATTTACGAAGAAA